ACCAGCGAACGAGGCCTAGCTTTGTACTAAAATCACACACATGAATGGTCAACACAAGGCTATATATAGGCTGCATTTTGTGTGATGTGGAATTCTTTTAATTATCTCACATGCATGACAAGTACAAGAAGACTCCACTGCAGGTTTTTCTTTTTTGAGGTCAACAGTACCGGAGGGGGACCGAACGGTCCACACCTGAATTTTCATTCCATAGATGCCACCGGGGATGGAACTAAGGCCTCAGAGGTTTTGGGGGAGGCGGAGATTACATATCCAAGATGGAACTCCAGCTGCTTGCAAGAGCAGCGTTATGCCTTGGCAGGCGGCAACTCCAAAGTCTTACTGACTCTCCCTGGACGCCATCAACAATCTGTTCTGATCTGGCGCCATCCCTCGGAAATGTAGAACGTACGTCAGATAGCTAATCGACAAGTACAGATCAATGGAATACTGAGTGATTGTTCCTGTTTATAGATGTTTGATCTCCTACCAGGCGGTCACTCACATAGGGATATACATTTTACAGAATAAGCATGTGGGAGGACAGTACACAAAAGACTTTCTGATGGGGTGCGTGGTATTGCTAGGCGCTGTATTTCTACATGAACTCTTGGTTGTGTTTAAAGCTAGCAAACAATCACAAGTTCACAACGTCCAAATAAAGCCACATAACCAAGACAACGCGCAAATAAAAACTTTCCGTATATATAGTGTTTTTATTGATGATTCTCATATTCTATTTGTTGACACCATTTACAGGGTACATACCATAATTCGACGTACATTGCATGTAGCTTCCATGCCATTCTAAGTCAAGAATTGGAGCAACTTGCTGGTTATCGTTGGTACTATGCAAGTTGAAGGCCCACCTCACATGGATTACACGAGCATTGGATTTTACTTTAGGTCCTACTCCATTTGTAATGCCGCCAATTTGTTCAACCTTTGGTACACCATGTGCTAGAACTTGTGAAGCAAAAAAGAGTGTGCTAATTGATGTGTTGATAATACTTAAATGATACCAGCGGTACACAATCAGGGATGTTTAGTACATAGACTATGTCATGGCACGTAATAACCAGTAGTAGTGGGTGTCCACTTATTTTATACATAGATTTTGGTTTGTAATGACTTCATCTCTATCTACCATTTAAATATGTATATATATGGTTTTATAATTATGTGAGAAATGTAATAATGGCAGTGAATATATGTGATGCATTAGTAATATAGAATATAAAATATTAGATAACAACCTCAATTTAAATGTAATAATAAAGTATTAAAAAATGGGGAATTGATGGTCATAATCAGTTGAAGACAATGAACTGGCAGTGACCCCCACAATACCACTGTCGGGTGGAGGACAGAGCCCACAGTGATTGTCTGCTGTGTATTAATGTTAGGCTTGAGATTTTATCAAATAATTCGGTTGGCTCTCAATTTTTTCCACAACAAATAGACAAGATACCAAAATAACTCCACTTGCGAGAAAAAGATGTACCACGATCTACACTGTGAGCGAGATCGAGGTTCTCCATTTCATTTCCTATATAATAGTCTCTGATCACCAGCTTCAACGACGCTTGGCTGTGGTCAAAGCTAGCAGTCACAAGTTCACAACGTACGTCCAAAGCCACAATATTCACGCGTACGCGATCTCGACGACACTACCAAGAAAATGCTGTCCTTCAAGGCGCGACGGGGAGTGCCGGAGCTCGTGACACCGGCACGGGCGACGCCGCGGGAGACCAAGGCCCTCTCGGACATCGACGATCAGCATGCTCTCCGCTACTACGAAACGGTGATCGGTTTCTTCCGGCGCTGCCACGGCCAGAGCGACGGACCGGATGACCCGGCGGAGGCCATCCGGGCAGCCCTCGCGCAGGCGCTGGTGTACTACTACCCCGTCGCCGGGCGACTGAGGGAGGACGCCGGAGGGAGGCTCGAGGTGGACTGCACGGCGGAAGGGGTGGTGTTCGTCCAGGCGGACGCCGACGTGCGTCTGGAGGACTTCGGAGAGCCGCTGCAGCCGCCGTACCCGTGCGTGGAGGAGCTGCTGTGTGATGCTGGTGATACGAGAGCCGTCATTGGTAGACCATTGCTGTTCATGCAGGTTACTTTTTTTATCTAGCTCCTCTTTCTTCCCACTTGTTAAAAAAACAGTGTGATAGAGAGAAAGTGTGCCATTTTTTCTTATTTATTACTCTATCGATCAGTTCCAAATTATAAGATGGTTTGGCTTTTTTACATATATTGTTTTTACTATGTATTTAGACAAAGTATATATCTAAGTATAGTAAGAATAATTATGTATCTAGAAAAGCCAAAACGTCTTATAGTTTGGTATGGAGGCAGTACAAGATTCACAATGAGTGCCACAAATATGGGCAGGTTTGAATCGTCCCACTCTAAATTTTAGAGCTAAAGCTCCAAACAGGTAGTATAAAGTTAGCTCTAAACTTTAGCCCACTTCACATTAGAACTTTAGACCTTAAAAGTGAGCTAAAATGCTCTAAAGTTTTTAGAGCTCTAAACTTTAGATGTGAGGATGCAAACAGGCCCAGGATTCATGCATTCTTATGGAAGTTATTTGAGACTTTACATAAAAAAATATCAAGGAGTTAATGGATATTTTTCACCGTGGGACAATTCTTAGACGGTTTCTGATCCACCCAAAATTTCACTCGTTGGTGAACAAAAAAATAGTAAAGGAATTTATTAGTCGGTCATCTTAAAATTTTAGGTTTTGCAATAATAACCATTTTCTGAATTGGTCAACGCTTGTTGTGAAGGCGATGATGTTGACATTTTGGGCACCCTTAGTTTACTTCAGAGGTTGTCTGTAACGAGGCTATGTAACTATTGTTTCATTAGATGAATGTAATTAGGGACTACCTATTATTCTAAAAAATTGTTCACATGGACATTTCCGTTCCAGTGCCTTCTAGCTCTATAAATTTAATAACTGGTGCAAACATACTACTAAACCATCAGTATCTATTCGGAAAAACAACAACAAAGCAAGTAGCTAGCAACTCGGAATGCATAGTAGATAGAATCATGCAAGACATACCTAGAGCAAAAATTTCTCTCCCTCGGTCTGTCCCCCTCACTCTTTTTCCGTCTCTTAATCCACTGTCCTTCACTCTCACCCAGTGGCGGATTTAGAATTTTTGCATGGCTTATGCCGGATCAAAATTTTCATATCCAAAATGGTAAAACCCATCTAGCAATTTGGTAAAGTACTGTAAAAATTGCCTCATAATTCAGTGTACAAATACTCAATAGCATAATAATAAGTCTTAAATTACAATACAATTTGTTCAAACAACATACTAATAGTTCCAAATATGCAATATAGAAAGTTAAAGAGGATATAGAATTGCATCACTACTTTTTGGGCGTACTCTTTCTATTGGCCATGAAAGTCTTAATTATGCCATCTTCATCCACTTCATCCAAAATGTCTCTCTCAATGAATGACACTAGCCAATCATCCAAAAGACTAATCATTTTATTTCTGGACTTGGTTTCGACTAAACTTATTGTAGAAAATGCCCTCTCAACACTTGTTGTCGTCACTGATAGAAGCAATACCAATTTCAGAAGCAAGTAAACCAAATCGTAAACTTTATGTCTATGTGTTTCCACTAGCTTAACTGAGAGGTGAACAAGGTTTTCTAGACCATTGAATCTATCATCTTATCTCATGACATTAATATATTAATCAAGTTGCAATTCAAGCTTTAGGAATTCGGAGCCAAATATCTCCTTACAGGAAAACTCAACAATTATGCTTACCTTGTGTGCGTCAAAGGATGCAAATGATTTGGTAGGATTGAGGGCCGACATACAAGAAAGCAACTCCAAATTACTCTCATGAAATCAATTATCAAGCTCTTGGCTAATTTTATCAATGACTCCAATATATAATTCTCTTCTGAAGTGATCATCATTTGTTTGATTTTGGGCAAACCGTCTTCATCTTCCATAAGGCACACAATTACCTTCCATAGCAAGAACTTCAACACCACGTTTATTGCAAAACAAAGTGACCTTTTCAAGGAACTTTTTCCTTCCATTAGTCCTCATCAAGTGTTGCATTGTGTTCTTTTCCACACTAGCAAGTTGGATTGCATGAATATTATCATGCTCCCTCCTTTGCAAATGCTAAAACAATTCATTTGTGTATCCAAGAATAACAAACAATAAGTGTGCACTTAAAACAAAATCGAAGGACTTAAATGCCCCAACCATAAAATGGTCCTTTGTCCAATTACGCTTATATGTTGTATCCTCTCCAAGAGTGATGAGTACATCACGGATAGTGGGATGTATAGCAATGATGTTGCATACAATTTTGTAATGAGAGCCCTACCCAGTATCACCAGGCCTAGGCAATGTTATCTCTTGATTTAATACACTCCGAGTTTCAAGTTCACCACAATTAAGTGCCTTCATGATATTCACAAGTCTAGCATTTCGAAGCATGCCATGACATTTACAAGATAATCCAGCAATATTTAACAAAAGGGATATTTGTTCCAGAAAACATACACAATTAATATTGTCCTTAGGGTTAGAGATTTTGGGGATCTTGCAAGGAATAGGAGAATGGAAGGGAGAAAAGTTTTCAGTCGTCACCAAGTCACCATGATTTCTGTTGCCACCAGTTGGGAGAGGATGGCATGGGCTGCAGCCTGGGGACAAGGCGACACTGGTGCGGCCGCTAGCTGGAGATGCGGCACAGCCGTGCAGGATCGTGCGGGCTGGGAGCACCGGGTGCTGAAAGCCATGGGGGATCCTGCCGGTCAGGCTGGGTGTGGGGATGAATATCCATTTATGCTGCACCACTCTTGTTATGATCTGTCTACCAGAGGCCATTCACATCACGGCGAGACTCCACGTAACTCTACGTGATGTAGATGCATATTCCATTGAATTTTCATTTCTTATCTTTTAGTACTGCCTTATGTGCAACTTCCCACCAATCAACAATGGAGGTGTGAATAGGAACATGGAGATTTGGATGTAGAGAGAATTGTGCCCACGCTAGCTAGCACCTGCCTCCAAGCTTATGCCATGAAAGGGCAACTCAGACATTAAGTGAAGATCTATTTGCTGTTGACCTTTTTTCTCTTGTTGCCAGATTTTCCATCCTCAGGATTTGGTCTTGGATTAGGGTTCAAGCGAAGAGCTTGTATTTTTTTTGCACCTATGCTTTCCAAATCCAGTGGCTACAGAATGGCTTGAAATGTGTTTCTTTTCGTTCTTTTGCTATGTGGCATTCTACTACAAATGTCATTATATTGCTTCTTAATTGGTATTTATTTTTACAGTTGACCAGACTGAAATGCGGCGGATTTGTTGGTGGATTCCACATGTGTCATAACATGGCTGATGGTTTTGGTATGATTCAACTCATGATAACTATAGCTGAATTGGCATGTGATGCAGCAGCCCCAAGCATTATTCCCGTATGGAAAAGAGAGCTTCTAAGTAGTACAACACATAGCCCAACCCCCATCGTATACCCTAACCCTTCATATGAACCATTACAATTGAACAGCTTGGACTCTACATGTGACGATGTGATGCTGTCGACTCCGCTCGATGAAATGGTAGTCGACTACTTCATCTTCGGGCCAAGGGAGATGACAACTCTAGAAAACCACATAAGGGGATACCACGCCCACTCAGCAACATCCTTTGAACTGATAACTGCTGTGATGTGGCGATGTCGCACAATAGCTCTGGGATACAAGTCAAATCAGACAGTGCACCTTATGATCACCATGAATGCCCGTGGGAGGTGGAACCACCATACCCCCATCCCATGGGGTTACTATGGCAATGCGCATTTCTCTCCCATAGCACAAGTAACAGTTGATGAGCTCTGCAGACAGCCACTCATCGACACGGTTGAGCTTGTGCGCGAAACAAAGCTCAGTGTGACAACAAAGGAGTGCATGAAATCCATGTTGGAGACAATGGCATCCACGCGCAACAGACTTTGTGAAGATCCAGCAAGAACATACGAGGTCTCTGACACGAAATGGATTGCAGCAGGGAATGGTTTGAAGCTTGGGTGGGCTGAGTTTGTGGGTGGTGGCATACCAGTGGCTGGCGACATTACTTCCAAGATAGGAAGCGATCATATGAGGTGCAAGAACCAAGACGGGGAGGACTCAATGGTGGTGTCACTGCTATTGCCAAGGTCAGCAATGGAGAGGTTCAAGAAGGAGATGGCTGTTTGGCTGAACAAACATGATGAGAAGAGTTTAATTATACAGAGTTCCCTCTAGGGGCAAGCAAGGTCTATGCAAGTATTGTTTGTGTGTCATTCTAAGAAGGATGTGTGGTGTACTGAAACAATTGCAAGTTTTATGCTCTCAATTTTAATATTTGCAAGGCCCAAACTGTTGGATTTTTTAACTCTTGTAATTTTGCTAGGCGGAAATAGTTGGATTTTTATTCTTTGATTTTTTTAATAAAGGAAGTTTTTATTAAATTTCATGCAATTTACCTCAGATGATATAAAATCTTGAAAAGCACTTTCGGCCTCTACCTAAACAAGCACACAACCAACAAAAAAAAAGACTAACATATTCTCATTGCTCACTATGTAAAAAACTGTAATATCCACCGGCGTCCCCTACAGACGCAGCAGCGAACGCGCATCTGTAATATGAGTTCACGCGTCTGTACTATATCGGCGAGGCCAACACGTGTCTGTGATAACTCGTTACTACATACGCGTGTTCGGAACACGCATCTATAATATATTGGTGGGGTTAACACATGTCTGTGATAACTCGTTACTACATACGCGTGTTCGGAAACTGCGTCTGTAATTATGAGAATACCCGTCTGTATTAGAGATATCTTATGGGTGACGCGTCCTAATAAACACGCGTCACACATACTGAGTTCACGGACCCGAAAAATGTAACATCCTGGCCCAGGGCTTAACATGATTAATAGGATACTCGTACCAACAAGTTGCAACTTCTTTTCCGGAAGCCCATCTACAAATAACTCCGAGGTTAAGCGTGCTTGGCCTGGAGCGATGGCTGACCGACCGGGAAGTTCTTCCCGGGTGCGCACGAGTGAGGACAAAGTGCGCAGAAAAGACAGGTGTTGGTCTGTGAGGGCAGTCTATATCCTAGTTAAGCTACCATATGTAAGTGGGCCCAGCCTCGGAGAGGTGGGACGTTACAGAATGGTATCTGAGCCGACTCTCGCGGTTTCACGGGCGCGTGTGTCGTAATTGCGCAGGCATGGTGCGCATGGCTGGTGTGGATCCGGCGTGGTCACACAGCATGGCACATGCGCTGGCACTGGACACACGGACGTGGCTAAGAGGGGACGTTCCTGGCCTGGGGTTGACCGACGAGGACGTCAGGTCTCCTAAGGGGGTGAGGATGTAACATCCCGGCCCAGGGCTTAACAGGATTAATAGGATACTCGTACCAACAAGTTGCAACTTCTTTTTCGGAAGCCCATCTGCAAATAACTCCGAGGTTAAGCGTGCTTGGCCTGGAGCGATGGGTGACCGACCGGGAAGTTCTTCCCGGGTGCGCATGAGTGAGGACAAAGTGCGCAGAAAAGACAGGTGTTGGTCTGTGAGGGCAGTCTATATCCTAGTTAAGCTGCCAGATGTAAGCGGGCCCAGCCTCGGAGAGGTGGGACGTTACAAAAAAATTATTGAACGTAGCTGATGGATGACTAAAGTCCGCATACCCCTTCGGCCTTCCCCCATGCGTGGGTCCCCGACCTTTACCACTGTGCATCATTATTGTTCACAATACATTATAACATCAACAATAATACAAAAATTTAATGGCTTACGCATCGCTAGCAACATATATGGACAGAGACAATGTATTGTATCCAAACATAAATCACCACTGAGACACAAATATCCTTACAAAACGACAACGACAAACATAGTTTTTAACCACAGCGACATAACGCCTGGCATCCAACAACAGCGAATATATTCCTTTCAGAACACTAGCACCTTGATTAGAGAAGGTGATGGACTCCCTTGGTGTTCATGACTTGGTCCATACTAAAACCAGAAAGATCTTGGAACCCAGATATATCCAAATCGGTCAGCTCCGGTGTAGATGACACTTCAGTCTGGAACACAAGAAAAGGGTGAAACACAGTTAAGAAAAGCTTCGCTACACACTCTAAGTATCTTACGAGGTCATCCAAACTTACTAAAGGGGCTGAGGGGCCAAACCTATGAGCCAGAGAGAGCATTGATGAGGTTGCGCATGTAATGCATGACATATAACCCACAGAGATCATTGCACACATGTTGCATTGGGATCAAATCGGCCAATACTACTTGAAAGCCAGATCTATCAAGCTCACGATGGTTCTCGGACTTTGACTTCAACTTCTCGTAGGCCCTGTGTCGACAAGTTCATGACACCGACATAAGATGATCAAAGCTATGTAACAAATAATCTTATCATTGCCAATGTAGTAGTAGCATGTCTTACTTGCTCAACACCTCAATGAAGGGATGGATGTCCTCTAGTTGGCTCCCTTGAGAGTTGTAAACGTTGACAGTGGTCCTCTCTACGCTGATGTCAAGAAGGACATGATGGTCGTCGCTGCATTCACAACGCCACCACCGGTTCCAATTAGGTTCAACCCTCAAATATGTAATGCAGTAGAAAATTAGGCATTTACAACAAACTTACACGCAGTTGTAGGATAGAAGTATCCTACGGGATTTGTTGAGACGGAAGCTCTTTGCCAATTCATCGATGGTGTTGGTGTACTTTAGTGTCCCTTGATTGCATAACACTAGGTTCAAGAAGCCTATTTGAATCCGTTGCACACAACAAAAGTCTGCCTCCTTCCTACAAAACAATATGTAGTTGTTAGAAACTCAACTCGGAGCTCATGGTGTACTAACTAGACTTACATGGTGTACAAAACAAAATGCATGGTGTACTAACTAGACTTACATGGTCCACAAGCTCATGATATGAATGTCCAAGTCCAACTTTTGGTAAAATTGAGACAATGCCTTGAACTGAATCCACAATGAGTCATCTGTTCCCATGTAAAACTGTTTATCCAAAATCCTTGCACCAAACCCAACACTACATTGACCTTTGTACCAATTACACACCACCCACCCTCTCGGTCCTAATTTCAGGACTTCTCCGGGATACACCAGATCACCCCCAGCCTGAAACTGCCATATAGGTGGTGCCTTCTCTCTATCCCGCCGAAGCTCAGCATCTGCAAGTTCTTCCTTTGTCGTTGTTTTTTCTTGCAAGTTCTGAGATGGTTGAGTTGTATTCCTAGTAGATGGACTGGTCTTGTGAGTCTTGGGTCATAGTGGTTCCTCTGTCGTTGTGTTTTCTTGCAAGTTCTGAGATGGTTGAGTTGTAGTCCTACTAGATGGACCAGTCTTGTGAGTCTTGGGTCGTACTGGTGATGAAATACTTGGTTCCCTATATTGGTGCGAGTCTTCCAAGTATTTGTCATCCATATCATCATCGTATTCGGAATCTGAGCCAAAGGATATGTAGCTCTTGCGCCAAAAAACTTGGCAACCCAAGTTCTCCCCTGGTGTCTTCCTATCCTCATCCTCTAGGTGATCTAACTCAACTGCACGGTACTTGGTCTTAGTTACTGCATCAATGGTCACCTTGGAGTACCTTACAGGCAACATATTGTTCTACAGCACATCCCCTGCTTCACCTCAATGATAGGCAAGACCTTGCGCCACCTTGGTCTTATAGAACTTCTCCTACATGTATACGTTGCAAGGTATTGGCTCCGTGATCTTATCAATGGGGAATGTGAGACATGCATCATCGAGAGGAAGCGGTGTGCTTCCACAGCTACTCTGTACCCAGTTTGGCTGATGACCCTGACCAAAGCAACCTCATCTGGTGCCGAAGGATGGTTCTTCATTCTCTCCTCAAGCTCTAGAAGAAAATGTTGATTGTTTTGTTTCATTTCTTGTTGAACAGCCTCCATTAGACATTGCATCTCTAATTCTTTTTGGGCATTACTCCTCATACGACTTTTGTACGTGGAGATGTCATCTGCGAAGGAAAGCTCCCATGGAATAAGTCTGAACCCTCGTGTACAACCAGGATGCTCTTTGTTTCCTAGTGCCCGTGTTAGATGATCATTCTCCCTATTAGGCTTGAAAGTACCATTAGAAACTTCATCATGGACCACCTTCACCCTTTGTGCCAGTTCCTCAGTTGCAGCATCCCAATAACTTAGGAAGCCATCTAGGTTGAAGGTAACCCCCTCCCAAGAAGGAACCTTATAGAACAAGGATCCCAGTCAGATGTACAGACCATAACACCGCTCTAGGTCAGCTCCTCCTCCTCCATTCCCAATCTTGGATTTTCCTCATGTAGCCACGTGAGCCAGTGCAATGCGGCATCCTATATTTGCCTCACTCTGTTCCTTCGCCTCATCCGATTCCTTCCAACTCACGAAATCACTCCAATACTCTTGTTGATGTGGGTATTTACGCCATTCTGGCTCAATTCCCTTCTTTACATGGTTTTTGTTTAGGTAGTACCTAAAATACATGGATGAGTTCTAATGTATGAACCACCCCAAATTACATTGAGATAGTACGTGCCGTCCCACTGCTCCAACTCATTTTTCATACTTACTTATATTCTACTTCTACTTCTATTCTACTGATATTCTACTTCTCCATGACTTCATAATACAAGATCAGTGCCATCCCACTAGTCGAAGACCTTTTTCATACTAACGTATATTCTACTTCCACTACATGACTTCACAATATAAGATCAGTGCCATCCCACTGATCAAAGTCATGATTACTAATTACATATGTAGCTCCTGATACATAGAACGCCTGGTGGCGATGCATATGGCGCCATTCTCCTTCAGATCCAGCCGTCGTCATCCTCGCCAAGCCAGCCCTCATTCCTCGCTAGGGCATGGTGGTGGCTCTTTGTTGGTACTTCTTAGCATAAGCTGAAAAGTCCGCAAGCGCACAGAAGTACCATTGTACCACTTCACCTGGTAGTATTCAGGGTATTGTATTTCCTCGAGGAATGGAGGTTTAAGTAGTCTCTTTACTAGTTTACCTAGGAGAACAAGAGGATGGATAACTTGGGTAGTGAGGTTCTTCTAATTATTAGAGAACCTAAGAAAAGGTAACTTTGCCACTATAGACTTGCTTTGGGCACCGGTGAACACTTGGTCTGTCAAGCGTTGCTAGCTTGTAACTGTACGTCGTACCCGAATGTGGGGGGTTACAAAGGACAGA